TGTAACTGGTTTTACTTATAACTTTTTTTTTTAAGATTTATTTATTTATGCATACAAGAGCTGGAGTACAGGCCAGAGGTGTGGGGGGTGAGAGGACTCACCAGAGACAGAGTGGGGAACAGAACAGGCAGACTGACTGAAACACACTGCTGAGGGGAGCAGTGGGCGTGTCAGGAGAGGTCTGCTGCGCCATGTGGGTTGCTCCCTGGCCGGGGATCAAACTTGTGCTACAGAGGCTGCAGATTGCTTCATAGTGCGGTGCTTAACCCCTCGCGCCACCAGGGAGGCCCTACTTATAACTTTTAACTTCTAAAATAATTCAAACAGTTGTGACTGACTAGGGGCAAATATAAGGTTAATTACACAGAACTCTTCTGTTTCCCAGATTTCCCCTCTTACTCTGTTTCATCTCATGAACCTTTTGAGTTACAGTATAGACCCAGATGTATCACCTAATATTAGATCCTTCCGGAAATATTTTCAAGTCTAAACAAATCCAAAGAAGTAAATTACTTTCTCTGGGAGAAACGAAGCAAGAATTCACAGACAATTAAAACTCTGCCTCTCTATGAGGGAGTAAACATAAATTGGTACCCATTTCTACATAGTTTGTAGGACACGGTCCTAAAAGATCTGGCATGGTTGTGCCTCATTTCCAGCTTTCCACTTTGCAAATGACAGGATTTTGCCAATGCATCTCATGACAATTAAAATCTAAGCACAGAACAAGAATGGCAGTATCAGTAGCTTTGGGGTTACTTTGGGTTTTAGTCCTTTTTAGTTACCAGGAAATTAAATCCTATTCTACCTGTTTTCAGATTCCGATTGAAGTAACACTTTCTCACAGAAGCCATCTCTTACTTTCTGGCATAGAAATAGAAATACCGCTCTGTCTTTTTCCTCCATTGCACTTGATTATTCATATTTATGTTTAATAATGAGATTATCTGTCAAATGCTTGTCTCTCTCACTAGAGTGTCCCATGAGGGCAGGAATCATTTGTTCATCCTAGTAACCAATCAGGCACATCACAAAAACAAAATAAACATTTGCTTAATGAATAAAGTGAATGTACATGTGGAAGGGAGGTGGTCTGGGTATTAAAATGTATATAACTCTTCAAGAAAAGTAAAAGGTTGAAAAAAAGAAGGAAATGTTTTATTATGAATTCTTTCAAAACTACAAGAGACATGAAGTAAATCCCTGAGGAACCACTGATCAGGCTTAGTCTATCAGTGGGGTGTGTATGTGTGTGTGTGTGTACGCGTTTAATGGTTTGTGAGTCCCATAACCTCTCAAAAACCCTTTGCTTACCCCCAAGGTTATGAAGATAATTTTTTTTTAAAAAAAGACATTTAATTATTTATGGATAGAAGAACTGGGGTGTAGGCTAGAGGTGTGGGGGGTGAGAGGATTCACCAGAAACAGAGTAGGGAGTAAAACAGGCAGATTTACTGAAATACATTGCTAAGTGGAGCAGCGGGTGAGACAGGAGAGGTCTGCTGCTCTGTATGTGGGTTAGTTCCCTGGCCAGGAATTAAACTCAGGCTATAGTAGGGATGGTGCTGAGACTTAACCCCTAGGCCACAGGGAAGCCCAAGATAATTTTCTATGCTTTCTTTCAGTAGCTTTAGCTTTTATTTTTAAGATTATGATAGATTTCCAGTTCATTTTTATGTATGGTGTGAGGTAAAGATTGTGATCCTTTTTTTTCCACGGATATGTGTATACACACATATACACACACAAACACACACACTTGTTCCAGTAGCATTTATCAAAAACATTATCCTTTCCCAATTGAACTGCTTTTGTGCTCTCGTTAAAAGTCATTTGACTCCACATGTGTGAGTCCATTTTATGGATGCTCTACTCCATTCCCTTGATTTGTTTACCCTTTTGTTAATATCACTTCATTTTCTTTCCAATTTTATTTATCTCCGATAAAATTGGAGATGTAATTGACATGACATTGTATAAGTTACCATATGCAACAAAATGATCCGATATACATCACACTGTGATTACCACAGTAAGTTTAATTAACATATCAGTTAACATCTACCACACTTTCTTGATTACTGTGGCTTTCAAGTAAATCTTGATGCCAAATAGAATTATGTTCTCCAACTCTGTTCTTCTTTTTTTCAAGACTACTGAATTATTCTAAGTCCTTTAATCTTCCAAACATTTTAAAATCAGTTGGTCAATTTCTATACAAAAAAAGTTTATTGGGATTGTGATTGCTATTGAATCTATAAATCAATTTTGGAAAAGCTGCCATTTTAACAATATTGACTCTTTCAATGCATAAATATGGTATATCTCTCCATTTATTTAGGTTTTTTTCCCCAATTTCTCTTAGCAATGTATAAAACACTGCTAAATTTTTAGTTTTGAACATCTTTCATTAAATTTAGCCATATGAATTTGATGTTGTTAATGTTTTTTTTTTTTTTAAATTTTTTTTTTTTTTAATAGAGGCATGTTTTATTTATTTATTTATTTGTTTTGTATGTTTGTTTGTTTTGTTTATACATGCACTGGGTACAGTCAGAAGCACGGGAGGGCGAGAGAATTCACCAGAGCCAGAGCGGGGAGCAGAGCAGGCAGAAGGACCGAAGTACACTGCTGAGGGGAGCAGTGGGCGGCAGGAGAGGTCTGCGCGCCATGTGGGACCCTCCTCCGGTGGCCGGGGAGCAGCCAGGGATCGAACCGGCGCCGCAGAGGCTGCAGGCAGCTTAGCAACCCAGCGCTCAACCGCTGCGCCACCGGGGAGGCCCTGATGTTGTTAATGTTAATGGTATTTGTTAATGATAATTTTGTTAAGTTTTTCTATTTGTTCATTGCTATACATAAAAATACAATTGATTTTTATATACTTCGTATTTTTTAACACTACCATAAATTCACATATCTAGTCTAGATTTATAGATCTTAGGAATTTTTAAACACAATCAGGTCATCTGCAAATAAAGACAACTTCACATTCTTTTTATGTCCTTCTTATCATGTTGCACTGGCTAGGACTTCCACACCATTTTGAATTAAGGTGGTGAAAGTGGGCATATTTGTCTCATTCTCAATTCAAGGGGAGAATGTTACAAAATCTAACTTTTAAATGTGCTATTGGTTGTTTTTTGTAGGTGGTCTTTACCATGTAGAAGAAGTTTATTCTATTCCTAATATATTAAGAAATTTTATCACAAATAGGTATTGTATTTTGTCAATTACATATTGCTGGATTCAATTTGCTAATATTTTTAAAGGATTTTTGCATCTACATTCATGAGAGAATATTATCATCAATTTTCTTTCTTCTTCTTCTTTTTTTTTTTTGGTAATGTCTTGGCAATGCTTTGGTGTTGGGTTTTAGTGGCCTGGTAAAATGACTTAGAAAATATTCCTTTATCTATTTCCTGAAAGAATTTGTGTCATATTACTATTATTTCTTCCTTAAATATATAAAAATATGGAAGTGCAGTCATTTGGGCATGATTCATTTTACCAGGTTGCTAAAACCCAACACCAAAGCATTCCAAGTACATTACCAAAAAAAAGAAGAAAAAAGAAAGAAAATTTATGGTCATATTCTCTCATGAACATAGATGCAAAAATCCTTAACAAAATACTAGCAAACTGAATCCAGCAATATGTAATTGACAAAACACAATACCTATTTGTGATAAAATTTCTTTGTGGGAAGTTAATTATAAATTCAATTTCTTTAACAGATTTAGAACTACCTAGATTTTCTACTTATTTTTATATCTATTTTATTAATTTATGTCTTTTGATGGATTTGTCTATTTCATATAGGCTGTCAAATTTATAGGCAAACAGTTGCTCAAAGGATTCCCTTATCACACTTATAGTAGGATCTGTAGGGTCCTACTGTAGGATCTGTAGTGGTGTCCCTTCTTTTTCATTCATGACATTGGTAATTTGTGTTTTCCTTCTCCCCTTTTTCTTTTTTTTTTTTTTAATTTTATTTTTATATTACCCCATACAATTGCAATGCCCCATTCTGACCCCAATCCTTCCCCTCCCGCCCCCCACCCCCCAAAAAGTGTCTCTGGTTCATAGTTTTTTGTTGATTTTGATTTTCACTTTCTTATATTCATTTTCCTGGTCCCTTATTTAAGTTTTCTAGATTCCTGCTATGAGTGAGACCATCCGGTATTTTTCTTTTTCTTTTTGGCTTATTTCGCTGAGCATGATCCCTTCCAGCGCCATCCATGTTGCTGCAAATTGCATGTGTTTATCTTTTTTGAATGCTGAGTAGTATTCCATGGTATATATGTACCACATCTTCTTGATCCAGTCATCTATTTTTGGGCATTTGGGTTGTTTCCAAAGCTTAGCTATTGTAAACAGTGCTGCTATAAACATAGGGGTGCAGGTGCTCTTTGGAATTGATGTTTCTGTGTCCTTTTCTCCCCTTTTTCTTGATCAGGATTTCTAGGGTCTAAATTGAAACAACAACAAAAAAACCCCAAATTCTGGCTCACTGACTTTCCTTTCCTTTTCTTTTTCTTTTAAGATTTATTTATTTATTTATTTATACAAGCACTGGGTACAGTCAGAAATGCGGGAGGGTGAGAGAATTCACCAGAGCCAGAGCGGGGAACAGAACAGGCAGACTGATGAAATACACTGCTGAGGGGAGCAGCAGGCACGGCAGGAGAGGTCTGTCGCACCATGTGGGACCCTTGCCGGTGGCTGGGGATCGAACCGGTGCTGCAGAGGCTGCAGGCAGCTTTGCAGCACAGTGCTCAACCACTGTGCCACCAGGGGAGGCCCTGACTTTCCTTTCTTGATTCATTTTTTAAAGAAAGAAGAAAACACAGATAAAGGTCACTGCAATCCCTTAACCCCACTCCTCTCCTTCTGTCCCTGAGGTACCTAATCTCCTGAGTTTCGAATTTACTGTTCCCCTATCCTTTATATATTATTTAATGTTGATTTCTATTTCTCACTGGGAATGTCTATTTACTTACCACGTTTCCTGCCTCTGCAGCCAGTCGGGCGGCATAACGAGCTATAAGCCGGTGTTCCTCATCCAGTCGGCTAGGACTGTCCAGGACACTGCCAAGGAGATAAAAATTCAATAGGTGTCTATAAAACATCCCCTACACTTGCTTATCCCTCAGAAAAAAAGATGGGAGAAAAGCTTATAAAAAAGAATGGTAACAAAAGAAATGGAGGCCTGAGTCACAGATACTAATGGTCTTCTGAGATAAATGGAATTCAGAGAAATGACGAAGCCACTGATGCCATTTCTCCTTTGCAGCTTTGCCCCATTGCTCCTATTCCATCAAAGGGAGCACTTCCTTTTGAATATGAGGGTTGAGAAAAGATAGGGTATCTACAAAGTCCGAGAGAGGGATTTCTAATAAAATGTTTTGGAAAAAAAGCTCATGACATTTAGACACAGGTTTTGGATTCCAAAAGCATTATAAAAAATAAAGGTTGATAAATATATTTAACACTGGCTGAGCAGAACTGAGGAACGCTGGCAAGAGCAGGCCCAATATATTGTGAAGTTGAGAAAGATTTCATGGTATCAAACATTCCCTTTCAAAGTCTCTTTCTATACTTTTACCATGTGTGTTCCACAACCAGAGGCCCAATTTAGAGCGGATCAATTAAGTCCATTACTCCTTGACAAGAGTACTAACACTCTACAAATTTAAAGAATCCCCTCAAATAGGACATCAGATAATGCCCCACCTGGAAGGAAAAAGGGCTCTGGAATAATAAGCCAGCTCTGTATATGAGATACTAATATGGAACTTTTGACTGATTATGAAAAACTAATTTAGTATGCTTCTATTTATACTAATATCAGCTGCTATTTATCCATGTTAGGGAGTTGCTAGACTAATTGGGAGGGTGGCTACATGATTTTTTTGTTTACATTTGGCATATGCTTATAGACAACAGTGATGATGATGGTTGACTGACAGAGAGGGGTGTTGTGGCTTGCATCTCTTCTGGTTCTAGGTTTATGGAGTCCAATAACTCTTGATTGGCATTTAGCAGTATGACAAATAAAGTGAAAAAACTTAAAAGACATGAGTTAACACTCATCGAACCTTGTTATAATACCAAGGGAAAACTGGGAAGGATGAATTTAATCAATGAAGCTCCCTCTGACATTTTTGTGTACAGAATCCATTGTATTTTTTTATGAATTATTTTATTTTATATAATTCTTACATCATTTTTCATTTTTGCATAATATATGCATTTTTATTTCGGTTATATTCCCCATAAAATTCCCACCCCCTTTTTCTGACCCTAATCCCTCTTCTCCTCCCCCACCCCTCACTATAGTGTGTCTCTGGTCTATAGTTGCTTCTGATTTTGATTTTTACTTTGTATTAAATAGTCTTTTTCCTGGTCCCTTATTTAAGTTTTCTAAATTCCTGCTATGAGTGGTCTCCATCCAGTATTTTTCTTTTTCTTTCTGGCTTATTTCGCTGAGCATGATCCCTTCCAGCGCCATCCATGTTGCTGCAAATTGCACAAGTTTATCTTTTCTGATTGCTGAGTAATATTCCATGGTGTATATGTACCACATCTTCTTGATCCAGTCATCTATTTTTGGGCATTTGGGTTGTTTCCATAGCTTAGCTATTGTAAATAGTGCTGCTATAAACATAGGGATGCAGGTTTCCCTTTGAATTAATGTTTCTGTGTCCTTTGGGTAAATACCTAGGAGTGGAGTTGCTGGATCATATGGAAGCTCTATCTTTAGTAGGTCAAGAAATCTCCATACAGCTTTCCATAGGAATCCACTGTATTTTTCCTAGATTATGTTTTCACTTTTCTGTATTTCCATATTTGTGTTTAATCCTTGAAGTTTAACTTGTTTTTTCTTCTAGGAGGGATTTCTTTCTTTTTTTTTTTTTTTTGTAAGATGTGCTTTAAATCTTCTGCCTATGCTACTTCTCAATACTTTATAATTTTAGGTTTGTAAATGTCAGTCTCCTGCATGTATAATCACTCTCTCAAAAGTTAATTTGTCATAAGAACATGTTATTTGTATATTTATCACATAGTGAAAAACAATTTTAATACCTTAGGGTCAATGCCCTAAGTCAGGGCTAAACTAAATTTTTTTCTGTAAATGTGTTTGTCTGAAATAAGAAAACTACCCTTACCTTTGAAACAAAGCAAAAATGAACATTAACAATACAAGTAGTTAATATTATAAAGGGACTGGCAGCCTAAGAAGTGGGACCTAAAGTGGCTGACCTGTTTTTTGGCAAGGAATACAATAGGTTCCTATGTGCGAAAAAACTCCTCCTTATCCATCACATTCCATCTCCATAGGAAGGTTAAGCCCATTTGTCATTTACACCTGCACACCACGGATGATTTGGTCGCTTTAATTAGTTATGCTTTCTAGCCAAAAACTAGAACTTTATGTATGTTGATGATAGGTTTAAGGTCAATGAAAATTGCCAGGGAATTAGAATGGTTCCTTATTCTTCTGCTTGAGCTGATTTTCATTTCTAGAATTAACCAGAAAATTTGTGACTATTTCACGTATTAAGCTCAGTACCTTAGACTACAAATGAAGAAGAGATGCAGTACTCACCTATCCTCATGTTCTCCCAGGGCTCCTGGCCACAATTCTTGCTCAGGGAGCCAATTCTTAAGCATGAGACTTGAGGATCTTGACTAAATCTACCATAAGTCTTCTTATAATGAGATATAGGGTAATAGCCTAACATTCTGCTGCTATTTTCCCCATGGAAAGTTTAATCACTTGGACAATTGCCCTACTGATAATAAGTAAGCTGTCCTGCCAGGTCTGGGCAGGACAGGGGCTGGGGCAGAGTGCACAGAAGTCATCAGTTGGATAAGGAGACAATCTGTGATAGGATGGACAATTATTAGACCCTTCTTTCCTTCCCACAGGATATGCTGATCAAGCATATTTAAGAGGTAGAAGAACCTAAAGTTTCTCTAAACCTTTGAAAATACTAGAAAGTAATAAATAACAATCTATTTAGTCATAGTAGGAAAACCATGGGAAAATGTATTGAGTATAATAAAAATATTCCTTTTCACATATATATGATATATATATATAGAGAGAGATAGATATTATTAATTTATTCTTCTGTTAGCATGAGGATGGTCAAATAACCTTCCAATATAGCCATGGCATGTTATGGACAAAACTTAGATGAAGATTTAAGTCTCCAGCTTCTCATGTGTTTAGTTTATAAATTATGGTTTTCTCACTAAGGATAAGAATCTCAAGTAGTTTGGCATATTCTCGGCTGCTATATAGAGGGGAGGAATGGCTTTAGGTTATTCACCTGCGATTTTTCCTGTAGAATGGTGGTGGGGTGGGCATGGAGTAGGCAGGTAGCTTTGAATCTACCTGAGTATAATAGCACTTTGGTTAACACCAAAGGGTTAACTTTGTTGTAGTTAGCAATTATCAAGCATTCTCCCATCCTAACCCATTGAGGGACAAGTCATATTCCTATATTAATAGCAAGTTAGCACCACAGTAGTTTTCAGGGAAAGGGTATGTGAGGGTTATCATCTGAGGAGGTATATATAGTTTGGGGAAAAAGCCTCAGGTAATAATGATTCAATACCACTATTGATAACCACTAAATAATCTACAATAACACAACAATTGGGGAAAAGAGACAATGGTGAAGTTATAATAGGGTGATGGTATTAAAGCCCCCAGATTAGATAAAATGAAGTATCTGTGGACTGATTAACCTTCAGCTTTGAAGGTCAATAGGAAGATTTCATTATTAGGTAAGAATGAACAGGAAGAATTGTATGGGGAATATAACAATAAAATTTATAAAAAAAAAAAAAAAAAAAAAAAGAATGAACAGGAAGAGGTTGCATCGAATACCTCAGTGAACGTACATCTTTGGGACTGCACATTTGTCTGAGGCTTATATGCTTTTTAGGTGTAAGCTAAAGAAAGTGGAGAACTTTCAACTATATGCTTTGGTGCGTGTCTGGCCTTGGCAAGGCTCCTTCTTCTTCAGCAGTGAATGTTTCAGCAATTATTTAAACTCTGCCAAGCATAGTTGGTAGCTTCTCAAGAAAAACCCCACATGCAGAGCTCTTCCAACGGGCACCCTGGTAACGCAGCTCTCCCTCCCCGCCATCAGCCCTTGGCTGCCCGCCTGTCACCGCTGCTCTACCACTGACCGTGCACAGTGCTGCAGACGGGCCACATAGGAGGCAATCAGCGCATGCTCATCGGCCCAGTGTCCTGTCTCACACTGGCTATACTGTAACCTGGGAACAATGGAGGCAAAGACAGCAAGCACGACACAAACACATACAGAGCGAGAGATGAACATGGATTAAAATGGGCAACTTTAAAGAAAAATAGAAAATAATAACAAATCATGATAAGGAAAACAATTTAAAAAAAAAAACCACAATGCCTAATGGAACATATGATATTAGACCATAGCAAATACATTTCACAGATTCTCTGAACAAAAGAGTCCTTCTAGAGACGGCTCTGGCCGACTGAGTCTATAGCCCTTGAGAACAAGAAACCAAGGAGGAGTCACCTGGAGCTTTGCCCAACCAGTTCTGTCCAGATTCTGGGTCCTGGGAGGGAATGGCCCCGGCCCGGAAAACCGAAGCAGAGAGGGCCGACGTCACATCAGCAAGTGGCCCCCCTCATGTGTTCACAGCTTCTGTCTACATGTAAGAGTTTTCAGTGTGACCTCATGACACAGTATAACCTTCCTTATTTGTATAAGGATACTGTCTTCAGCATCTTTCTACTTTCTTCCATATAAAATCGGTACGTCAAGCAAACTTGATAGAATTATACCTAATTGTAAGACCACACTGTGCACATTCCGAGTGAGATTTCTGATAGATTCATTGACAGTCCTTAAGACATGACCTTCTTTTTGAAACATTTAATTATAGAAATGTTAAAAACATGCACAAAATAGAGTATTTTAATGACTGCCTCTCATATACCCATAACCAAACTTCAGCAAAAATCAACATACTGGGCCTCCCTGGTGGCGCATCATAAGTATCAGCACTATGAAGCTGTCCGCAGCCACTGTAGCACGAGTTCGAGCCCCTGCCAGGGAGCTGACCCATATGGCGTGGCAGACCTCTCCTGTCTTGCCCACTGCTCCCCTCAGCAGTGTATTTCAATCTACCTCTTCTGCTCCCCACACTATCTCTAGTGAATCCTCTCATTCCCTGTACCTCTGGTTTGCACCCCAGTTCTTGCATGCATAACTAAAATAAAATCTTTTAAAAAATCAACATTCTGTTCATTTGTTTCACCTATTCTTTCTCCCCCAACTTTTTATGCCGGAAGGGTGGCAATTTATTATTTCACCCAGGAATAATTGAGCCTGTACCTTATCAGAGAGTGAAAAACATTTACATAACCTCAATGCCATTACCACATCTGAAAAAATTAACAAAAACTCTCAAACCTCAGTCCATCTGAAAATTTCCTCAAATCTTTAAAAAACATCTTTTCATAGTTAAAGTCAAGATCTAAACAAGGTCCACTCTTTGCAGTTGGTTGATTTGGGGTTTTTTGTTTGTTGGTATGTTTCTTATTTTAATCTGTAACTGTTCTTCCTTTTCCCTGTTTCTCTCATGTCATTTATTTGTGAAGAAAACAGGTTTCTCTGTAGCATACTTTACATTCTGGATTTGACTGATTGTTTCCTGTGGTATCATTTGTTTTTCTATCCCCTGTGGTTAGATCTAGATGCTTGATCAAAGTTTTTACTTTTGTTTTTGAGAAAGAACTAGAATTCATCATGGGTAATAAGGTACACTTATTAATCAAATAGGAGGCACGTAATAGAATGAAATGTAAATGTGGATTCTGATGTCATTGGTTATATCTCTATTATAAAATCTCTTACCGACTTTCACCTAAAGGTTTCAGTATTTACTGAAGATTTTTGCTTAGAGTCACTATTTCATTAGGAGTTGCCAAATGTTGATTTTCCCAATTTTATCATCTTTTTTGCAATTTCTGCAATCTACCAGTTTCATCTGTTTATCTAGAAACACTGTTCATTCAGCAAAGGTTAAACAAATACTTGATTCAAAAATAAAAATTTTTTCCCTCCCCAGATTGCTCTGTCTCCAGTTCTACCCTCTGGGCAGCCCACAACAGCAGCAGACAGCTACATGTGCACAGCCCCAGAGCTGTAAAATGGGGGGCTGGGCCAGGATGGTCGGAGGGCAACTCTCACCTGGTCCCCACATTAGCTTGTACCTCAAAGAGCACATTTCGCAACTAAATTGACATGATTTTATTTAACAAATTCCAGAGAGATGAGTTAGCAACCTAGCAACCTCTGATGGTTACCAAGGAGTTTTCTTCAGTATCGTTATGAATGGATAGATTTCTGTGTATCTCATTCAATCCCCTGCAGTCATCTTCTGGATGCTCAGATTGTTCTGTCTTATACATGTCCTGTCTCACACTTGGCATCAACCATTCCCTGAGGGATTCCAGTTTCTCTGTGCTGGGAAAGAGTATGTAGAGACCATAGTCAGGGTACCTGTATGCTCACTGCTTCTGGATATCACTGCTTCTAGGATTTTTCAGTGGATAGAGCTAGGAGATGTACACCCTTTAGAAACAAGAATAATAAGTTCTTTCAGTACTTTCAGATGTCTTTCCATTTTCTTCTAGCTCAGTGTTTTTAACGAGAAGTCTTTGAATAATCTTATTTTTGCTTCCTTATATTTAATATGTCTCCCCCCAACTGCTTTAAATATCTTCTTTATTGTTATTTTTTCAAAATTTGATTGTCATGTCTCTTGGTCTGTTTTTCTCTGTGTTTATCCTGCTTACAGTTTATTGAGCTTCTTGAATTTGTAGGCTTATAGTTTTCTTTTTTTTTTCCAATTTGGAAAAATTATTTCTTTAAATATTTTCTCCCTCCTCTGTTAGACTGCTTGATATTGTTCAGGAGTCAATGAAGCTCTGTTTGCTTTCTACCATTTTCCTCCGTGTGCCTCATTTTTGGGTAGTTTGTGTTAAAGTTCAGTGGGCTTTTCTTCTGCAATTTCTGATCTACTATTAAGTTCAATGAATTTTTCACCTCAGGCATTATTCCTTTCAACTTGAGAAGTTTTACTTTTTCATTTAAATCTTTTTATTGAGGTAGACTATATATATGCAGAAAGTTCCAATTACATTTACACTTGGTTCTTTTTCCTTTCATTTTTCTCCTTATGTTTCCTATTTCCTTTATATTTTTGATGTTTACCTCTTACATTTTTTAAACCTACATCTGCTAATTATAACATGTCTGTATTTCTGGCTCTGTTTATATTGACTACTTTTCTCCTGCTTTCTTCCTAAATCTTCTAGTTTTTTACTGGATAATAGAAATTGTGACTATTATTTTGTTACATGAAAACATCTCCCTCTAAAGAATCTGGTAGTTGGTTAGTTTACCTGTGGACAAATTGACCCTTTTCAGAAAGGATTGCTGTTAAAGTTTTATCAGTGTAGATCTAGAGTATTTTTCCAGGGCTATCCGTGTTCAATGGTCTTTCTACTCTGGTTAGTTGGAATTCAGACAACTGGATCCACTTTCATATCCCCAGGAAAGGTTCTTTCCCAGTAGTTCTTTGCTGGTTTTATGAAATCTCAGTCCGTGCATATGTAGCTCAATTTTCAACTAACGACACAAGGCACCTCTGTGCAGACTGAGGGGGTTGTCTCCACACTTCCCTACATGCTTCCTTTCCTACCATATCAGTGTCAACTCAGCAAACCCCAGCCTCCCTGAACTCTAGTCTTTGTCTCATTCTTAGCAAGACTGACTTTGCTTGTATCCTGCACTGGAGTTTCACAAATGGCCAGGCAGCAAGTCTGGGTAATCACAGGGTCTTCTTCATTTGTTTCCTAGCCTGGACAATGATAACCCCTCTTCCTCAAACCCCCATATCCAAAGCCCACAGAGCCTGTCTCCACTCCCAGGAGCCCGCTCAGATCTCAAGCTGAAACACATAATACCAGACTGACAGTCTTTCTCCCAAACCTGCTCCTTCTTTCACTCTGCTCTGACAGTCCATGATGGATGTGATTCTTGCTCATGCTCAAGACTTTGGGCCTCAGTCCAATGAGGGGAGGAAACTATTAGTTACCATACTTCTGTCAGCTTCAATTTTTCAAACTAAGATTTTAAAGTATGGACTTGGAAATACTCAAGGTTTTTGTTTGTACTAACCTGAGTTAGAATTGCTGAGGGGTTTACCTTAAATGCTTGAATGGAAATGGAATTTAATCCCAACCCAGAAGCAGTTGAAAACTGGCAATCTGCCCAGGCCATCAGATGGACTTTGAAAATCTGCCAACACAGAGGACCCTGCAGTTCCCGAAGACTATGTGTTAATTTTCAATTACTCGGCTTTTCTGGCATTCAAAATAGGATTGGAGGAAAAAAATAACTCCTGTGTTGCCAGGGAGAGATTTCCATGAGGAAATCATTCAAGCTAGTTGTTCATGTCCATGCTGAAACCCTTCCTTATCAATTCTTGCTTGCTTTTTTTTTTTTTTGCATAGAAGAACTGGGGTGTAGGCCAGAGGTACATGGTGGGGGTAAGAGGACTCACCAAAGACAGAGCAGGGAGCAGAACAGGTAGATCTACTGAAATACACGGCAAAGGGGAGCAGAAGATGTCTGCTGCGCCATGTGGGTTAGCTCCCTGGCCAGGGATGGAACTTAAGCCACAGTGGTGACGGCACTGAGATTTAACTTCTAGGCCACCAGGGAGCCCCATCAATTCTTGCTTTTGAACCAAATCCTACCTTTCTTATTTCATAGGAAGAAAGAAAATCAGTGCCCCGAGTCTGTAATAGTTTTTGGTTTGACCAATTTCATTGTGCCTCCTTTCTTAGTCTTCCCAGCACCTCTGTCCTCAGTCTGTGACACCACAGACTGTGGCTTTGTCATTCTACAACAAGATCAACTCTTTACCTTGGCACCCACTTGAAACTATTTTAATACTATTACAGGGTAACTCATCTCTTAACTTGGTCATGTTTTACATCTTAGAAGAAATATTTATACAGTGGTAAGTTCTGGTCTCTAAAAACTGCATTTCCTTCTTATGTGTGAAAGTAAAAATGTTCTAATGGATGAAGTTGTGACTGTCTGTGAGATCACCAGTAATTGGTAACACCTAGAATTACCTGTTACCACTCAAAGATGGTGCTATCTGTCATCACATCTTCATAAACAGAACAGAAAGCGTGACTTAACCTTTGTGAGAAGGTGGGAGGGGGGCAGAGTCCCCTGCTCTGGTCATCCCTGAAGCAGAGCCATACACAGGCCTACTCCTCCCACAGTGGGGTTATGAAAACAAAAAATGTTGTTTTCCCTAAGCTAATTCAAACTAAGTTTCTATCACAGCCAAACGTTCTGACTAAAATAAAAACAGATGCCAGAAATGGGGTGTAACATTTTGTGAACTAGCTGAGCCAAGTTGAGGTGTGGATGGCAGCAAAACTCTCCATCCTGGCGAGAGAATCAGTCTTTGCTCTATGGCTACAAAGCAGAGCAACTGGTCAAACCGCCATCTTTATGATCCCCATGGCCCTCACAACAGACCCAGGCAGCTTGAGGGGAGTGACAGGACTTAGTAGTGATGTAAGTGTCCAGCATGATACTGCAAGAGAGAGAGGCCTGTCTGAGAGGCAGCTGCTCAGTCCACCAAGGGTGAGGTAATTAAGACAATTAGGGTTTTATTGTTCTAAAACCCCAAATATAAATCTCAATTCTTTGGCAGCCGGGTGGGGCACCAGCCCAGTGATGCAGACAATCCGAGGCTCTAAGTGCTTCTTACACAGACTACGGGCCCTCACTCCACACCCCCCTTCACAGCCTCTCGTTCCCGGGGTGGCCTTTCTTCTGGCATCTCTGCCAGTTTAGGCTTTCGTTTTCTCCAGTCTGCGAAATCAGTAACTACTCAAGCCTCTGCTTTGCTGCTTCCAAATTGGTGTTGCTATTGTTTCTTCCATTTTCCTTTGTTATTGTGGGTTTTTACTTTTCAAAAAATTTCTCAGCGGTCATTTCAATGGCACTTTAGGCGGAAACAACACATGTCCCTCACTACAGCGTGCTGTTCCATCTTATTCTCCCACTTGTCTACATCAGAGTATCTTATATTTTCAGATCTCTGCTTTTGCATACTGGCTGTGTGAGTGCCTAAAACTTATCATTCTGTCCGTGACAGAGTAGGTTAATGAATCACAGAAAGACACCTACAGCTGATTCCATTTGAATGGCTACAACCCAGACAGCCAGGACCCAAGGCTGTCTATGGAGGTGGAGAAGATTCCTGGGAAAGGCATGTGTGTATCGGTAGCTGGATATGGAAAGCTTCCCTATGTGAAGAAGGAAAACTCTGAAAATAGGAGGAGGAAGAGTTGGAACACTGAGAGAGAGCAGCAAAGAGGTGGGGGGAAGCCTGGTGGGATCTCAGTTCCTCCTGTGACCCACGCACACTTCTGCTTTTCCTTTTCTGACTCTGCCTTTGTTTTTGTGGGTGATCCTCCCTCCATCCTTCCTTCCTTTTGCTGTGGAAAGAACATACAACATCAGATCTACCCACAAACTTTGTGTCTAGTACAGCGTTGGTAATTATAAGCACAATGTTATACCGCAGATCAGGAGAGAACTTTCATCTTGCCTAACTGGGTCTGTACTTTTTAAAGTTAGATTTTAATAGCTGACATTAAAAGAGTTAAACTGCAAAGCAGAAAGATTCATATTGAAGGTTCTTGCTACTGCCATAGTTATACGAAATTCCCACGGAATGGTAAAAATTTGAATATTCATAAAGAATCAAAACTAAAGCTTTAGAAGACAAAAAATTAAAATACATTAGCATCCATTTCCACACGGGTGTGTGCATACCAGGGATGACTTAATACAGTACAACAGCGCAGAGCGTGGCAACACAGCTCACATTCTGGACCTGGCAGGGGAGGGATATACGCCAGCCTGGGAGGAAATCAGACAGGGGGAGGGGTCTTAAGCATCTGTTTTAAAGTTATGAGGCTGTTTTGCTATTTGTAAATGTAATGTTCTGATTCTTTTCAAAGAAAGCAAATTTACAGAAACTATTTAGTCTGAGACAAAGACAGATTTTGCTTTCAGTTCCAGAAATAATCAACATGTACATATTAAAAGAATACTGAGGGGAAACCTCCGTAACATAACCTCTTAGGAACATCATCTTCACCAGCATCTTTGCCATTTATAAGGCTTTCTTCTCAAAGCAACCCTTCCACCTGAGATCGCCTTTTCTTTGGCCTGGAACAGCACTGTTGACGACTCCTGTCTTACTGCTTTCGATGCACTGCTTACTGGAAAGGCAGACATTGGAGTTCTCACATTTTTCCTGCATTTTTCTCATGATGCGTGTTCTCATCTAACTCAGGGATGAATGTCTTGTGTTAAGTTCTGAAGGAGACCTCTTCATCCCCCTCGGGGAGTCCCTGCCCCAGCAAACTGTCTGGGTTCCTGGCTTTCAGACACAGGTCAGATGACATTCAGAGAAAGGAAGAAAAATGGATGAGTCCTTGGGCAAGTAAACAGAACACTACCTGGAAATGGATACCGTTTGGTAGCTGAACCCACAAAGAGCCAAGTCTGCAAACTATGCAATTAATGTCCACAATTGCAACCTGGATATAAGTTGAATCTCCTAGAATTCTAAGAACCAAATTGTTGGAGAGGAGGGTGTCTCGTCCCCAGGCAGCCTCTCCTCAGGTAGCTGCTCTCCTGGGTCCACCAGACTCTGGCCGCTCTGCTGGGCTGGTCAGCTCTAGATTGGGTGATTCTACCCAGAAGGTGCTTGGCTGAAATACTGACTTTAAAAATAAAAGCTTAATCCAGCCTATATAATTTGAAACAATTTTCAAAAATGATAGTTGTCATTTGTTGCTGACAACTGTAGATGGTCCCTGGGCTTTCAGACAGTAACATCGAGTCTAGAGGTTAGTCCTTTCAGAGGCAGCCATGATTATTTCTGCTCCTGGTTGCTCCCTTCAGCTTCTCAAGCAGCAAAACACTGTCAGAAAGCTCTGCTCTCCAATTGCCTCCACAGCAACAGTCAGCTGTGGTCACTGAGTGCACAGTGCCCTCGGTCTCCAGGCCCTCAGGGATTCAGGTGACGTGGAGTGACAAAACTAGTCAATGAAGGAGAAAACTCAGATGGGCTGAGACCCTAATACATGGCAGGGCTAAAACATAAAACCCACAGGTTGACTTCTTTCACCAATCCACCTGTTTCCCCAGTTTTGAAAAGGGAACTTCCCTGAGTTGATATTTAGATTCTGGGTTTGGATGTGAATGCTACTGTACTTAACATAGAAAACTAAGAGATAGAGTGGGGAGCAGAACAGGCAGATCCACGGAAATACACTGCTGAGGGGAGCAGCAGGTGAGACAGGAGAGGTCTGCTGCGCCATGTGGGTTTCTCCCTGGCCAGGGATCGAAGTCTTGCCTCAGTGGCTGCCAACATTTCTATGGTGCTAAGACTTAACCACTTGCACCACCAGAGAGGCCCCCCAAATTTGTATTTTTACCAAGTGATACAGATGATTCTTCGCATCAGTCATCTTGGAGTTTTAGTCAATGGGAACACACACAGTATCTATTAAGTTAAGGTGTCATTAATCAGGTGACATTTCTACAACCGAGTTAACCCAAAGCAGTCAGTACACATGGCACGGCGTGGTTTTCTTCAGAAAAGACTTGGGTAGTGGGTTGGAATGTCTTTGTTGTTTTTTTTCTTTTTGAGTGATGGCTGTTAGAAAAAATTCTTTAATGGTTGTGCCCTTGAGGGAGTTTCTGCTCTGGTCATGGAACAGCTTAATCAAATAAAGAGTAAGCCATTTATATAGTTCTTTTAAGTCCTGCCTGAGAGAAGAGTAAATTAAAGGAGGAGGAGAGAGGAGTCCACAGTTCTAGGTCCTTGAAGGGCTCTAAAGAAAGCCCCTTGAGTATAGTGGAAAGAGAGACTCGGGCGTTCCAACTTAAATGTTTACAAATCATATACAGGGTGATTTAGGAGAATATTTATAGGGGATTAATTCAATTCACAGAGTGATCAGGAAGCAGTCTGATCTTACACACTCAAAGAACACCACATAAAATTCTTAAAACTCATGACCATCAAAATGCTGTTGATTATTTTTAAAAGGTTTCAAACATGCCAATCTGCTTTGACACTGTGTTCACCTCAAGCACCCCTCAAAAGCAGACTCCTTCAGGTGCTCTATTTATGAGCTAGTAGGGGGAAAAAGGAAGATAAAAAGTAGAAACTACTACTAAAAGAGAGCCAAAGGAGGAGGAAGCAAGGCAGTCCTGGAGCCTGCCCTGGGGACGCTGCGCCTGGGGCCAGCCCTGAGCAGAGGCCAGGCGCAGCCACACATACCTCTTGGTGGGAGTGGGCGCCCCGGAGGACATGTGGCTCACCATGGTGTCGTTGATATTCGTCAGAGGACGAGGGGGACTGAAAGGAAAAACATTTACATTATATTAATAATTACCAACATGATTAGGTGGAACACAAGAAAGAGTGATAAGGGCAAAAGAACCAACTATCATTTCTGATAAGCACACTGGGACCGTGGAGAGTAGAGGAAGAGATCGATACCTCCAGCCTAAGCAAATTCAGCAAGAAGGGTTCTCTCCCTCCATGTCTCAGGCCCACAGGCCTGTGCTGGGCCAGGAGTGGCTCCTCATACACACACTGCTCTGGGGGGATGGGGCAGCTTTCGGGGTCTGGTTTTAGAGCACAAGTCTCTGAATTTTGCACCTTGGTTAATTTCTCTGCCATTCAGGTGTTGATAGGACCACGGGTGTTTGGTGCTTTGGTGAATCACAACAGTCACACACCCAGGGGCACACGTCTCCTGAGATTTGGTTAGAGCTCACTGCCTGCCTCAGACTGAGCTGGCCTACTTTTCATCAAAACAACTAAACTGCTAAGTACTAAATTTTATTGATTGATTCTTTAGTAACATCTTAATGAAGTGACACTTTAGACCCACAGTCTAATAGGAACATTTTTTTGCAACCACCCCCAAAGTTAAATGTGAAGGTAAGCATTTTGGATGACCGGTCTTTTGCTACTGGTTTTCTGGACTCCAGGTCTATTTGTCCATCGTGAGTGAACAAATGCAAACTTTCTGAAAGGAATCTGTTCTTCTGTCTTTCGGTCATTCTTCAGTTGTCCTCCCACCAGGTTTAGCTATAAAGGATTTCTGTCTTGCATTTGTTGCTAAATATTCCTTCCAGGAAATTTCTCACCTCTCCTAAATTGAAAGTAGTACCTTTCAGAGAAATTTGTCCATAAAAGGCAGAGAAATTTGTCCATTAAAGGTGGGAAGCACCTGGGCCTCCCCGGTGGCGCAGTGGTTGAGCGCTGGGTTGCGAAGCTGCCCGCGACCTCTGCGGCGCCAGTTCGATCCCCGGCTGCTCCTCGGCCACCAGAGGAGGGTCCCACATGGCGCGCAGACCTCTCCTGCCGCCCGCTGCTCCCCTCAGCAGTGTTCTTCCGTCCTTCTGCCTGCTCTGCTCCCCGCTCTGGCTCTGGTGAATTCTCTCACCCTCCCGCGCTTCTGACTGTACCCAGTGCATGTATAAACGAACAAGCAAACAAATAAACAAATAAATTAAAAAAAAAATAAAAAAAAAAAAGGTGGGAAGCACCTTCTGGTTTCTCCACATCTTTAAGAGCTGAGTTACTTAGGTAAAATGTTTTTGTAGAGGTTATACTTAGTCCACCTTGGTGAATATTAAGGGACTTTACCCTTTATTATTTTGTAGATTTCTTAGTGGAACATTCAAATAAAGGATCAAGGGGAAATTTTTCAGGGAGCAGCCAGGAATCTAGAGAACAGGTTAAGAGGGATGCAGTGTCCATCCACCATCAACCAGTCCCTCCTCCTCTGTCTCTCCTCCTTCCCTCCCTCCTCTCCCTCATCCTCCCTCCCCACCCCTTTCCCCCTCTTTCCCCTAACCCCTTCTATTTTTTTAAAAGATTTATTTATACAAGAACTGGGGTACAGTCAGAGGTATGGGAGGATAAGAGAATTCACCAGAGACAGAGTGGGGAACAGAACAGGCAGACGGACCAAAGACACTGCTGAGGGGAGCAGTGGGCAAGGCAGGAGAGGTCTGCTGCACCATGTGGGTATCTCCCTGGCCGGCCCGGAATCAAACCCACACAGCAGAGGCTGCGGACAGCTGCACACATGGTGTTCAACCCACTGCGCCACCAGGGAGGTCCTCTATTTTTATTTTTTAAAAAGATTTATTTATGCATATAAGAACTGGGGCCCCAGCCAGAGTTGTGGGGGTGTGAGAGCATTCACCAGAGATAGAGTCGGGAGCAGAACAGGCAAATCTACTGAAATGCAGTGCTGAGGCAGAGCAGCGGGTGAATCAGGAGAGGTCTGCTGCGCCATGTGGGTAGCTCCCTGGCCTGGGATCAAACTCATGCTGCAGTGGCTGCAGCGAGCTTCATAGTTTGCGTCTTAATCCCTTGTGCCACCAGGAATGCCCACCCCTTCTATGTTTAAAACCAATTTCATTTCTGGAAGGCAAATCTTTTTTAAGGATTTCCCATTTAACAGAGAGGAGCAAAGAAGGAAAGTAATTTGCAGGGGACAGATTTAGGTCTCTTGATTTTTAAGCTGTATATACATTATGCTTATTGTTACACAATCTTCCCTTTGTGTGACAAGTCTCTAAGTAAGACACTGAGAATTGAAATGTGACTTTCTAGGCTGGAATTCAATTCTATATTACTTATTTTACTACCTGCCTTCAGACAGATACTCAATTTGGCTCTAAACTTTTTTTTAATAAATTTTATTTTTATATTCCCCATACAATTGCATAAACTTTAATGCTATTAAAGCCTATTAATGCTAGTGGCTATGCTGAATTATAGCTAATGAGTCCATTGTTTTAGGTTGACCAGTGATGGAAATGTACACAGAAGTCAGCTTAATTTTATAATTTTTTGTCTCCAGTTCTTTTAAATCAATTGTCTAACTGGAACAAGGAGATAATTCCTATGAAGGAAACAAATCCAGCATCATAGCTTTTCATACTTGAGGACCAGAAACATTCTGGTCCCAGAAACAGAGTAAGCTTTGCTTCTTTAATATATTATTAGCAACCCATTTCCAAAATAAGATAAGGACATGTTCACATTGCATTGAGAAGGAATGCAGCTATGTTGGACAGTCAGTGCTGAACATGCTTACTGCTGCATTCAATTTCCTTTCTGATGTTCTCAGAGGAAAATGACAGCAGAAAAAAGTTTGAAATTCCTTAGACATTAATCCATGCGATAACATTTCATGACTTATAACAGTTTGGCTGGAAGTCACGAAAGTCTTTAATAATCATCTCCCCCTCTTGGAAAAACAAAGTGCTCAGTTATTATCTTAAAACACACATATCAATGTATGCTTCTTCAATATCCAAAATTGGGCATTCAAGATTACATTGCAAGCTGTAAACAAATTATAACTGCCCCCAAATTTCATACCCTTTCCAATTTTCCCACATGTTTTGTGACAGAAACAGGCAGTTATAATTTGAGGCATTTGTGAACATAAAGGGGGCCTTTAGAACAGGATGAGCCATGAGCCCTGCCCTTCACTATGAAAGATGGCAGCACAGATGTGGTCTTAGGAGATGTAATACACTAAAAATGACTCTGACTTAAAAAAAATTCTTCCTCGGTCTTATAAGAGACAGCTGTAAAGAAGGCTTCGGGGTAGGAAGTAGACATCAGTAGTATCAGTTACAGAAACTTACAACTGATACAACTCATCAGATTGGTTTTGTTGATTATTTTTGACATCCAAAACCTGTTGAAATCTTAAACTTGTCACCTGATGTTCTACATCTTCCCTTGGTGAGGATCTCAGCAAGGTATCTTCAGGTACAAATGAGTTCCATGATGCCAAAATGGTACCAACCATCACTTGGGACAGATTTGGAAAGTTCCTTTTTTTGTAGTAAGACATATCTTTTTTAACGAGTTAGCAGATAGATAGATGATACAGGTAAAAAAGTAATTTTCCAATCAGAAGAGGCTGGTATAAAGAGAAGACTTGGAGAGAAACTGTTAATTCTTAATTAAAGGAAAAAAGGCCTTCTCACTGGCTGCCTACTAATAAAAGATAGACTATCTTCATCAAATGACCTGACTACATGCCAGTGGAGACCAATGTGCACACAAATCACCAAAATGCAGAGCAATGAGAGCAAGTAAGGACAAAGTGTTAAGAAATCAAGATGCAGAGCAGTTATTCCTGTCTGGGAGAAAGAAGGGGAAAAAGCAGTCAGAGTGAATTAATATTGAGGAGATAATTTTCCAGTTGTAGAACAAAAAGGGCACCCTACTTAGAAGAAATAATATCAGAAAAGGCACAGAAATCCAAAAATGTATGGCATAGTTGGGTCTAATTTATTCGACAAGTTCCAAAGCCATTTGAAGGAGACTAACGAAAATACAAGACCAGGGACAGGAAGCCTGTTCTACCACAAACTAAGACGTTGTACTGTGGACAACAGGGGAAGCACTGACCATTTATAAGACAAAAGATGATGTGATTATAGTTGGGCTTTGAAAAGAACTCTAGGGCCTCCCCGGTGGTGCAGTGGTTGAGCGCTGGGTTGCGAAGCTGCCCGCAGCCTCTGCAGCACTGGTTCGATCCCTGGCTGCTCCCCGGCCACGAAAGGAGGGTCCCACATGGCGTGCAGACCTCTCCTGCCGCCCGCTGCTCCCCTCAGCAGTGTGCTTCGGTCTCTCTGCCTGCTCTGCTCCCTGCTCTGGCTCTGGTGAATTCTCTCACCCTCCCGCGCTTCTGACTGTACCCAGTGCATGTATAAACAAAACAAACAAACAAATAAATAAATAAAACATGCCTCTATAATAAAAAAAAAAAGAACTCTAGACATTTATAAAATGCTGATTTTAATGAGAGGCATGCACAGGGATCATCCGGGAAGCTTTTTGGAAAAGAAGACACCCAAGTTCTACCCTCAATTTAGTAAATCTGAAAGGGGAAAAAGGATTCTAATGCATGCCCCCATTTAAAAATCATTTATGTAGAGTGAGTTTGTCAGGATGAAGGGATGGAAGCTGTGAGACCAATTAAGAGGTTATGGCAATTGTCCAGATCAGTGATTATGAGGGGGGACAATGGTAGTAAAAATGGAAACAGGACAAAAGGAAAAATATTCTGGAAGTAAAATAAAATCTGGTGACTGATTAAGTACATGGAATTAGGGAGTAAAGAATAATGAAGATTTTTACTTTGATTACGGGGGGGGATGGTGATATCAATGTCCAAACTATGGAACACAAGAATAGGAAAGAGGATTTGGTATTGGATTGTGGGGGTAGAAAGAATAAGTAAGAAGGTAAGGGTAATAGGATTTCAGAATTGAAATCCTAAAATTACACTAAATGCCTTCCAAGAG